TTAGCTATTACTACACAGAATATAAGAATGACTACCCCTTCTATTCCATTATATTCTTCATATTCTAGAGGCTTTGTTTGTATAAGTATTATATGATATCTTGAGAGGATGTTGGTTAGTAGTAGGTACTACTGCCTTGTTTTATTGGCGACTATAGTGTAAGCAATATTGTTGTAAGTATCTATCGATATCTTACGAACGATAATCTTTAAAGATATAGCTAACGACGTTAAGACTTGATAATCGATAAGAATAGCGATTCTATATATTCGGAAAAATGATAACTTATATCTAACAACTATATAAGTACTTTAAATATGATATTTATATATATAGAATTATAACTTTCTAAAGATCGATTAGAAAAGAAAATAAATAAAATAAAGACAATTAGCTACTAATTAAAGTCGAATTATTTAAAAGACTTAAAAAACAAAAAAGTCTAATATTTAGAGTCGACTTTAGAATATAGTCGAAAAACTTGAAAATATACTTTTATTAAGCTAAAAATATAACTATTATTAAGATAAACTATAATAAAAGATTAAACTTTTAAAGTAATCTAAGGATTAATTAAACTTTGATTAGTTATTAAAACTTTGATTTTAATAAATATTTATATTTTTTGGAAAAATAGCTAGAAGGTAGCTAGACATATTTCTATAACCTATATATACTGTCATTTCACTTTATCGACTCAACTATAATAAGATTTCTTAAGAATTGATACCTTTTGAAGACTAATTAAGCTTTATTCTTACCGATAGAAATAGTTTAGAATTTGGAAAACCGAAATGGCTTATATATATAATCTTTTGATTTTGACCTTTATATATATAATTCTGCTTAAGAGGATATTAAGCAAAAAGTTATAGAATCTTGATAAAACTGTCATCTAAAGCCTTAGAACCATTAATTTCAATTTGTTAAAACTTTGAAAAAGAAGCTTTGCTAACAAATTGAATATATTAGATAATCTAATAGCATTTGCCAATATAAGAGAAAATGTTAAAGTCAAACTTTAACGATTTATATAAGGAAAAGACTATAGAGACTTTAATAAAGATTATCTTAAGACTATCCTAACCGCCAGCTTTTACTGATTATAGAATAAAGCGATTGACTACTTTTACTAGAGAATTGCCTAAGGATATTTAAGCGAAAAGTAAGTAAACTTATTTTGTCATCATTTTTTAGAAAATAGATAATATTCTTTGCTAGTTATCGATAATAATTGAATAATAATAGTAGCTATCATCCTTACCGTTAGTACTTTAAAGTTTAATCATAAGACTAACTATAATAAAATAAGAAACAATGATTATAATAATTATAATCTAAACTTTAATAAATTTTAAAAGACTTTATTAAACTTTAAAGACTTTAAAGACTTTATTAGACTTAAGATGATGTTAAGATAGTATACTAAAATATCAAGCAAAACTACTATAATATCTTACTACTTTGGTAGATAAAGCTTTACTATATAAATAAATAAGCTATAGCTACTACTATATATCTTGACGACTAGTAGGGCCTAGACTTACTAACGTAAGTAAAAATAATTTAAAGAATGTTTTGTTAAGGATGGTACTAACGCTAGCCCTCAATAAGCATTCTATCTAACAAAAAGATAAAAAGAATTCTATTGATTAAAGAAGAAAAAGTAAGATAAGAATTGATAATATTTTTGATTAGTATTAAGAATATCAGAAAAGCTAAAGATTAAACCAATTTTCAACAATAAGCGATAAAATATATATATATAATATATTATTATTAAAGAAAAGAAGGTAGTTTAAATCTAACAATATATCTTCGAATTTATAAGCCTTATTCAATAAATCGAATAGGAATCAGTCTTATTTGTCTGATCATCAAAACTCTTTATCGATTACCTTTATAAGGCATTAATAGAATCAATCTAGATTAGATTCTAAGCCTTTTATATTATCATCTATATTGGTAGTACTGACACTATTCAAAGGCTCCTAACTATCGGACCCTCTAGACAATATATCATCAGTATCAGACTTTACTATAGGTTTTTAGGATGACGATAGGTTTGATTATAATACTAAGGGAAAGTATAGTTTAAAATTCTGTCAAATATCTAAGCCTAATACTATAGAAGCTTTTTAGTTTAATAGTTAGAATATTATCAAATTCCTTCGCTACTAGGAAAATATGGCTGAAGACTATAAGCCCTCTAAAGACTGACAAGTCTAATAAATGTATTTATACTATATTAAGAAAGCAAAATTAATTATAAAATAAATCGTCGAATTAACTATAAGAAAGAAGGCTAAGAATCGCTTTACTTATATAAAAGAAAAACTATATAAATGTTTCTAAGCCTTTGATAAGGAGATAATATATAATTATACTATAAACCTAATCATCTTTCTTTAAAAACTCTTGCTTAATAATCTAAGTAGCTTAAACAATAGTATCTTTAAATTCGAAAATCTGCTTACCTATAATAATATCTTAAAAACAGATAAGTAATATATATACTAATTCTTTATGATTCTTCCTTTCAACTATCAGTTGAGAATTTAGAATAAGCTAAATATCTCCCTTAATAAAGTATAAGATATATTGTATGATCAGATCTGTCAGATACTTTGGAAAATCCTAGAGGATGATATTAGAAGGATGGTAGCTGCTTTAAGAAAGTATATTTTACTATACCTATAGTCTTATATAGCTATCACTTTTTCTAGTTATCCTTCCGCTATAATTGACACTTTAAGAGCCCTTTCGAGTGAATAGTATAGTGATCATCTATAGTTATAAGTTCTATACTTTGCTAAGGCTTAATTATAAGTATAAATACTACCGTCTATAAGAACTACTATAACTTTCGAATTAGCCAATATAATGGCTATATTGAAAATCCAACGTTAGAAAATCAAAGCTTTAAAGACTAAAGTAATCAATATAAAGGGTGGTAGGTAAGTGATTAGTATAGCTTCAAACTATCATAAAGTAGCTTATTATCCTTTACTATATCCTTATACTACTGTACCTACCTACTATATACTGTCTAGACAAATTAATCCGTCTTAATAAGTATATGATTCCTTTTATAAAGGAGCCTAATATAGGCGAGGTAGATATAGCCAATAATGGCGCCCGATAAGTAAAGTAAAATACTTTTACTATAGAAAACCAAGAGAGTGAATGAACAATTATAATGAATATTATGATGATCGACTTTATAGAGTCTATCACTATAATAGTGATATATAATTATTCTTTTCTAGAAGGCTTATAAATGTTAAAAATATCCTAAATATTCCTAAAGTACTAACAGAGTAGTAGAGAAAGGAAGGAAAGATAAGAAACATTATATATTCCTAACTTACCTAATATATGTCCCTATCTAACGTTACTATCTTATAATAGATGATCAAAAAAGATAATCCGTTAAATATATATATTAATATAAAATATCTGACAATATCTAATGATACAATTGACAAGGAAATACAACCTACTAAGAAACTACCGTCAAACTAAAAGGCTAAAATCACCCTTTAGAATAGGAGTATCGTTACTTAACAAACTGATCAAAGATTAGAGAAGAATATACCAGCTATCCTACAACGAACAAAGATAGAAGAAATCGAACAAGCTATATATATTGACATAAAAGTATAATTTGTCGTCGACTATGATAGTAGACCTTCCTCTACTATAGATTTAGCAATTTAAGGCTTTATATAGATAAGGTATAATCAATATAATTCTATGTCTCCTTTCCTAATAATTGATTTGTTTGCTCTTAAGAATGAATAAATGCTACTTTTATCATTTATCTAAATCGTCAAAAAGTATAAGATTAAGCATGATATATTATTATAAATCGTCAAAATTGACAATATGATAGCTAATATAGTAGGAGGAGACAAGATAAAGGTTGATTAGCTTTTAGATAATAATAAAAATCAAAATAAAAGCAAATTAAGGAAAATAAGGCTATAACTAAATCTAGAAGAAATAAAGGAAAATTTTTCAGAAGACTATAACGGTCCTTTCGAATCTAGCCTTAGTGTTAGCCTTAGTTATATTAGTTCTAACCTTCCAACCAAGATAGGAAAAAACGATCCTACGATAATTATAACATTTAATAAAGATATAAAATCAATAGAGAATACTAAGGAAGGGTTAAGGAAGAGAATTAGCTAAGAAAAAGTAGGAAGTAAAGTATAAGGAACGAAAATTATGCTGGCATTATAAACATAAGAATAACTTATAGAAAGGCTTTTAAGCGAATTACTTATAGCTATTATCAAGATATTAGGTGCTAATCTTCTGCTTTTGAGTATATAATTAGCGATAAGGTTCTTTCAGCTAATAGAAGATATAAAAGATAAAGTAGTAGAAATAAGGATTCTGCCAAAAACGACGATAGAAGAGATAGAAAGTAGCAAC